TCATCTCATTTTATGACATGACATAGTAGGATTCCAACATTGAATGACATATTCTTGTTTGGAATGAAAAATAATTGTTGATTGTTGCATGTGCACATTTCATATGCATCTAGGAGGGTGTAGCTTTTGTAGGAGATACTCTATTGAGCATAACTCACCCTATACGGGAAAACATTTTAGGTGCAGGATACACTCCGAAAGATAGCTCTCATTTGGAGCCCCAGTGATGAAGAAAGGCCGACTTGTGGCCTTGAATTCGTTTTTTTTGTAAAACTATTGTGAAAATTATGTTTTGGGTATGTAACAGTATGGAATTGCTGTAATAGAACTTGTGTATACTAGGTTTTATGTGAAAAAACTTATTAAGCATGTTTTGGATGGTGGTGGAAGGGATTGAAAATTGAAAACAAGTGAAACTGGACAAAGCCTACTGGTATAGCCTACCGGTACAACTTTGTCCAGTAGGTAAACCCTACCGGTAGGAATTTTTCAATGAGCTCACCCTATCGGTATGTCCTAATGGTGTAGGCCTTCCAAAAATTTGTAATTTTAAAACTGTTTTGCCATACTCCTGAGCCATGTGTCCTTCCTTTCAAATGATGTAAATGGACTATAATGGAGTATGAAATGTGGTACATTGGACCACGATTTGATTAAATGATAAAATGTACTCGGGTTACGCATGTGAGTTATAATCCCGGTTAAGGGGATGTTATAGATTTGACGTTGAGTTGTGCGACAATCACACGTATTTTCGTTAGTTGACGGGTAGTCAACGGTTAATAAAGGACCCCCGATTTTAGGGGTGTCACAAATCTAACCTAAAAAATAGCAATCGTACCCTAAAAAGTTATAAACTTGTCTCAAATAAATGGTAACTTTATTAAGAAAAGGGGTATTGTTTACAAAATAAAGGTGATAATGTTACACCCAAAAAGTTGTACTCTTGCACCCAAACAAATTGTATTCTAAGCCAAAATAAGTTGTATTTTAACCAAAAAAATGGTAATGTTAACAAAAAAAAAGTGGTAATCTTGCCCTCAAAAGTGGTAATCTAACTTAAAAAAATAGTAATATTACCCTAAAAAGTTATAATCTTGCCTCAAATAAATGGTAACCCTATTAAAAAAGGGGTATTTTTACAAAATAAAGGTGATAATGTTACACCCAAAAAGTTGTACTCTTACACCAAAAAAAATTGTATTCTTAGCCAAAGCATGTAAAACCCAGGTAAATTAATTTTTTTTATGAAAATGGTAAAATGATAATTTGTCACTACAGTACGGGTTGTAAACTTGAAATTTTCTAGAACTCGGATGACAAAACAGACCTTATCGTTGGATTCATCTCGTGAAATCTAGTTATCTCGTCAAATTTCGTCAATTTTCATCGAATATTGAGATAGTTGAATTTTTTAGGTTTTACGAGGCGGTCGAGTATAGGGTGACCCAAAAAAAGGGGATTTTTAATAAAAATTTGAAAGTTGGAGATTCATTTAAGGCAAATTAAGATAAGAATATTTTAGAATTAAACCGGGATGAAATTTAATCATTTTGGGGCGAAAACGGACCCGAAAAAAGGAAGGTCGTGCGGCACAATGTGAGCCAAGTAAATGGAGAGGGTATTTCTCCCATTCTTCAACCGGTTTCAACGTGAGAAAAGAAGAGAGGGAAAAGAAATAGTTTCACCACTTCTTTCTATGACCTACAAAATTCTAGCTGTCGAATCCGTTCGGGCCAATAGGGAAAGTCATTCTCCTCGTCAAGGGTTACACCTACGTACCAAAAATCAAGGAGTTTACCAAAGTTCAAAAACCGGGGCTTGAGGAAATCAAGTGTTTGAGCTTTATTGAAGTTCTTGAAGGTCTTCTATATGTTCTTTACGCTTCAAGAAATAGGGTTCCTTCCTACTTAGGTTTATTTACAACCTAAGATGCTTATATGAAATGGTTATGTTGATAGGATGCCATATAACTTTGCCTATTGGTGGAATTAGTGAAATGGGTATTGGAATTGGGTAGAATGAATTTTACCTTGAATTGGGTATGTAAATTTGACTCAATGTGATTCATGGAAATTGATGTTATGTAGGCGTTCTATGTGCTTTTATTGGCATGTAATATATAATAACATGCTTGTGACACATGGTTGGATATAAAAATGTTGATTTATGCTTATAGATACATCGACATTGTGGTGGAATTGGTAATTATATGTTTTGGATATAAATTGAAATGGAATATGTTTAAATGTTGTTAATTTTGCTCATGTGGCATTCTTTACATATGGACATGATGACATTGACTAAGAAATGGTGCATTATATTGCATTTGCATGGGGGAAACGCATCTATAGCCATGAGTGTGGGTGTATGTGTGCATGGTTGATATCAAACACCAAATAGGTGGATGATGGTGGGCTCAGGATAGTTGGATCGAAAATCCTACTTAGTCGTACGGGGTTATGAATAAAGAATTGGGTCGGGGTTAGCAAGAAGGGCTAGACTATCCCTTAGGTGAGAAACCCAGTGATTGGAGACGCACTCTGTTGGTATAAGAGTCCATAAAGTGTGTCAGTGTACGCGAAACCATTGGTGAAAGTCCATAAATTCCGTGTCGGTTGGGTGCCATTGGTGTAAGTCCATAAATACCCACCCTAAAAAAGACCTGGAGATTTTAAATAGTCATTGGGTGTGTAGTGCCAATGGCAGGGCTGGGAAAGCCGATTTTTATACCCATGGCATTTTATGGGGGAAAAAGAGTCAAGGAAGGCTTGGGTTTAATGATTGAGTCTCATCTCATTTCATGACATGATTTGCTAAGATTTCAACATTGACTAATATATTCTTGGTTGTGATGTTGTTGGAGGTAAAGTGTTGCATGAAGATTCATATGCATTTAGGTTGGAGAATAGTCTCGGTAGAAAATACTCTAATGGGCGTGGCTCACCTTATATAGGAAAACACTTCAGGTGCGGGATACATTGCGGCAGATGGCTCACGTTCGGGGTCCCAGTGATGAAGAAAGGCCGACTTGTGGCTTTGAATTCATTTTTGTAAAACCGTTGTATAATTTTTTATGAAAATTATATATTGGACTTGTAATCGTATGGAATAAATTGAAATAGACCTTGTATATATTATGTTTTATGTGAAAACCTTATTAAGCATGTTTTGGATGATATTGGAATAGTTTGAAATGGATTAGAAATGAAAAATAGGTGAAACAGACAAAATTGGGCAATGAGTACCGGTACAACAATGTCCAGTGGGTTAACTGTACCGGTACAGATGTTGACAGTACCAGTACAGTCTTGTCTAGAAGGCTGAGCGTATCGGTACACCGTACTAGTACTAATTTTCTAGATGGCTCAGAGTACTGGTACGCACTTTCCAAAATTTTGAAATTTTAAAATTACCTTGCAAGATTTTAAGCTATGGGTTCTTAGGTTCCAAGGATATAATGGAGTATGAATTGTGGTACATTACACCACAATTGGATCAAATGATAAAATGAGCACGGGTTTTACGTGTGGTTTGAAATCCCAGTAAAGGGGGTGTTATTAACGTGGCGTTAAGTTATGCGACAATCACGAGTATTTTCGCGAATTGACGGATGGTCAACAATTAAAAAATGACCCCCGATTTTATAAGTGTCACAAAGCAAGTTGTATTAATACCCAAAAAATGGTAATATTAACCAAAAAAGTGGTAATCGTTCTCTCAAAAGTGGTAATCTAACATAAAAATAGTAATCTTACCCTAAAAAGTTGAAATCTTGCCTCAAGTAAATGGTAACCTTATTAAAAAAAATGGTTTTTGTACAAAATAAAGGTGATAATGTTACACCCAAAAAGTTGTACTCTTACACCCAAAAAAGTTGTATTCTAAGCCAAAACAAGTTGTATTTTAATCCAAAAAATGGTAATGTTAACCCAAAAAATGGTAATCTTTCCCAAAAAAAGTGGTATTGTTGCACAATATAAGTGGTAATATTAAACCCAAAAAAGTTGTATTCTTGCACCCAAAAAAGTTATATTTTAACCCTAAGGAAGTTGTATTCTAACCCAAAAAAAAATGGTAATGATAAGCAAAAAAGTAGTAATATTTTCCTCAAAAGTGGTAATCTAACCTCAAATAATTGGTAATCTTACCAAAAAAGTGGTATTCTTACCAAATAAAAGTGATAATGTTACACTCATACTCATACTTCTCACACTCATACTTCCCCTTTCACTCTCAATCTACATATGAGACAACTTTTACTGCAAGATCAACAACAAATTAAATTGCTACAGTCAAGATTAAAGTTCTCTAATAGATTCAACGCCAAATTAAATCTAACAAATTGGATTTTATGATGCAGCATACAAATAATCAATTTAGGCTCTATGACATAATAGGGATTCACATAAACAAATCAGAGATATGCTACAGGATTAAAGCACATTCATCAAAACCCAACACAGTCCATTTATACAAATAAGTAGTCCAGAGTTTACATGTCGATTACTATTCAAATATGTGGTCTACATTTTCCAGAAACAAAGGGAATATGATGGTCACCTGTTTGTCTTCTCCTAATCCACAGGATCAAGGTTAGGGCCTTCGGTATTCTAGGGGCAGCATCTCACTTGGTTCTGTCTTCACTGCTTACTTTCTCTTATTTCCCTCAGAATATTTTTCCCCTTCATCTGTGCATAGTCTATGGATTATCTGCTGGCTCCCTCTCACTGGATGTTCATCTTCTGCATCGTCAAAATGAAGAGGCATTTTGCTCTGTAGCACTGTATTGAACTCCATGGCAGGATATTCTTCTTCTCTGTTGATGCTTTGTGGTTCTTGGACATCCTTCTCTTGGCTGGATCTAGCTCTCAGAGTGAGTACTAGGAAAGAAAGAAGTCCCTATGTGGGGTCTCCCATGATCCTCCATTCTCCTTGAAGAAGGTGTTTGATATTGAGAGTTGGTCATAATTGGGGGCATCGTGTGGTCCAGAGAGTCCCTAGAGAGGATTCCCAAATGTTTCAGCATGTTGTTTAAGACAACTGAGTATGTTTTTGTCATAACACTGAAATTCTCCAACTCCATGGCTGTTATTGCCCTTGGTTGGATGGTGGTGAGAAGGATACTGAAGCTCACCATCAGGTCCTAGACCAATTGATATGCCCTACAAAGTAGTAATAGCACACGTAATTATCATTATTATGATTATCAAAAAACTAATAAAAACTAAAATTCTAGATTTAAAATGGCTTACCATAGTCGTGGAACCCATGAAAGGTGAAAATGAAGCCTTGAAGCTCTCACAAAATTCTTTGTACACTTGAATTTGAGTCTTTCCATCAAGAACAGGAAGATCATCCATAACTAATTATAGACACTCTTTGTAATGCTGCCCTAACCTATCTGTAAAGAATATAATAGAATTCAGTTCACCAATCCGAGACACCCATTTAGGGAAGGGAATTTTAGGTTTGTTAGCATCGTGGAAGCATAGCGACACATGAAGCTTAAGACCCACTTTTTGAATCATCTGTCATACAGTCGCCTTATCAGTAACCCAGTTGCCTTATCAATTGGCTTTTCGATCTCCTAGGTGCAGTTGGCTTATCACTGATAACTTATCGAATCCAAATAAGGCCATTTAGTTGCCTTATTCGATAAGCCCCTCCACTTCTCATGGACAACTATTTCTTGTAGCTCATTTAGCTGCTTGTCTCAGCTGGCCTCCATCTCTCAGCTTTTTCTTGCAAACCATTTAAAGCACTGTTTACATTTCTAGGCCGCTATTTTTTTGGAATGCTGGAATGCTCAAAATAGCTGCTACTAAAAATGTGCAAGAATGCTCAAAATAGCTGCTACACATTGCTCATCTTGGCTCTCTTAGCTATTGTTCACGTGACTGTTCAGCATTCCAACACATTTCAGTAGTTGGTTTCATAGTTAGGAAATTATTTTTGTTTTCCATGTAAAATCATGCATTAGAATTTTTAATTCCTTATCACACTGTAATTATGCATCGAGAGTAAGGTAAATACGTTTCCCCTAGCTAGGTTTAATTTAATTTTTAATCAATAAAATTCTCTCGCAAGTTCTCCAAAAAAAATAAGGATATATCTAAGTGAAAAAAAAACTTCGAATGGAGAATGTAAATTAAACCTTTTCATTCAAAGTTGAAAAAAAAGTAAAATTTCATCAACCAATCTTGCTCCATGATCTTGGTGCCCAGTGTGATAGCATAAATTGATTGTTAGATGACAATGGTGAAAAAATAAAATTTGTGGGATAAAATTTGTAATTTTTTTAATTACCTCCATATTAGTGACAATAGTGTTGATGTACTGTGATTGAATGGTAGAATTAAAGCTTGACATTCCATCCTAAAATAACAAGGAAAGAGTATATATGAAAAAAAATATAAACATCCAAAGAGTATTATATGAACCTGATAGTTGAGGATACCCTCGTTGACAAAGGGAATGCAAAGGTCATCCTTTTTCAATGATGGCATAGATTGTTGCGATCCACCATGCTATGCAAAAGACATGTGGGATGGTTGTTCTGATCCACAAAGTTGTGAAAAGGAATGTCCCGTGGTGGTTGTGATCCAACTGGTTGTGAAAAAGATATGTCCCCGAATGGATCATTGGATTGAGGCATCAAGAGTGGACATTTTCTAATAATATGGCTAGTGCCCTTGCATTTACTACATCTTCACGAGTTGATTGGAATATTCTTTTGTGCACGACTATGATTACCCTTGGTTTTCACAATATTTGGATCATTCACACCAAATTTTGTATTCGTCACATTTGCATCGTGTTTGCCAAGTGACTCATGACGGGCTTTTAGAAGAGAAGTTCTTGTTGTACCATATTCCTCATGTCATTTGAGTCTGAGAGCAACTGTGAAGCGTAATAACACATTTGGTTGCACATTGACATAAGTCCAACATAACGTGTAGGAATTGACACATTCGGCTGCACATTACCATATTTGTGTGCACATTTATACCTAGATTTTGCTTTAATGGTCCACCTGTCCATCACAATGGTATTCGGAAACGCTTGTATGTGCTCATACTTCATGACCGCGATCAAGTGAGAGCATGGAATCCCAAAAGACTCAAATTTCATGCGATTGCATTTAAATGCATGAATTTGAGGATAATATTTCACAATCCACCTTGATTCTAGATTTGTGAATCAAGACAAATAATAACTCTGATGACTTTCAATCTTGATCTTATCCACTACAAAAAATACAGCTTCTTCTTGTATTTTATCGCGGACCTTGAAGAAAATATTTTTGTTATATAGAGCTGTATCATGCCCCTCTAAGCATCTCAGTGTTGTCTACATCACTAGCCTAAAATGTTTCGACTCAAAGTCATCATTGGCCTCAAACTCCCTGATCCTTGTCAAGCCCCTGTCATAGTGTCTAACAAACTCGAATAATCATTGGCTTGTTTTTAGAAAGCGTTTCAGGTAGGCATGCATACTCTCTGATCGTTGTGTGCTTTTTAAGCCGACAAAAAAATTTTCTCGCAAGAACGCTTCGGCCCATTTGAACCACTTTGCATAAACTTCTGCTATCCAATTGTTTGTCTCCATTCCAAATGATTTGACCATTGATTTCCACTCATTTTCAAATTCTTCCAAAGTACATCGAGCACACATGCACCTCTTGAATGCATTGATAAAATATTTAGCATTTATATCTGTGAAAGCATTTCCTGACAAATGCCATCTACATAAGCGATGCGTTGCTTGAGGAAATACTCTTCCAATTGCATCAACCATTGCTTTATCTCCATCAGTAATAACAGATACAAGCATCTTGTTTTCCATTGCATGAAGAAAGGAATTCAATACCCACACATATATATCAATCATCTCATCTGAAAGTAATGCACACCCAAATATTGTTGTAGCATTGTGGTGGTTGACATCGACAAATATCACAAAAGGTTTTTTTATATGCATTCGTTTGATATGTAGTATCAAACGTCGCACCTCACCAAAGCACTTGTAATCTAGTCGAGATGTCGAATCGGCCCAAAACAAGCAATTCAACGAATTGTCATCGGTGACAGAATACTTGAAATAGAATTGTGGGTCGAACTCTTCCTTCATGCTCAAGTAGGTTAATGCACCCTCTGCATCACCGTCTCTCAACTCTTCTCTACGGTAGGATGTCATGTCATTGTAGAGATCCTTTGTGGTATACCCAACATTTTGATATCCTCTAGATTGTTGCAACATGAAATCCCTAATATGACTTGTACGCATACCAACTTTGTGAAATGATATAGCTTGTGCTTTGTCGGGGCTCTTGACATGCCTGTGTGATCAAAGAAATGGAACACCACGTTGTGGAATCAATTCATGGTTGTGGTCCATTACAAACTCTTTTGCAACCCATTTTTGTGTCTTCATATCAAACTTCGCTCGAAATGTTGCCTTGCATCCAAGTCGTGTTAACTCTCGTGGTTCCCTTGATCGCTCTATGCGTTTTGCATTCTTTGCTGACCGATACCCTTCTCTCGAACAAAACCACTGTCTTGAAATTGGCATGTTGTTCTTGTCATGCTTCAGGTCATCCTTACGAACACTAAAACCCGAATATCTACCATATGTGTTATAAAATTGTCCGGTATTTTCATGTGATATAAATGTCATTGCAAGGACTTCTGTAGATGTTAAATCTTCCCTCATTGCAATGTCTTTAATTGATGTTAACTCATCCTTGCTTGCAATGGCTTCATTGGATGCTAACTCATCCTTGCTTTTCTGATGGAAGTCCATGTTTTGATATTCATCATTTTCAAAATCGTGCAATATGTCATATGCTATATCACTATTTAAGTCTACAAGAACCTACTTCCCTTTTTGATTTGTGTCGATTATACCTAAGCACAATTAATTAACAATATCATCTTTAAGAAATGCCTACTATTTCAACCTATCAAAATAAGAAGATAAGAGTTGTGGACATAACACAACTAATAACAAACATCTATGGAGAAAAGATCGTTAAATACTTACCTTGTTTGATATGAATCTTCCAATACCTTGCATTCCAATTAATTGCATGGATGATCAAGAAAAGATCGTTAAATACGTTGGATTGAAGTTAGATAGGTGATGAAATAATGAAGATTTTAAGAGTGATGAAGAAACACAGGCTATAATTGGTGCTTGGCTTTAGTTTGTTATTGTATTAAGAAAATCATAGTAGTTGGAACAGTGGTTTTACATTTACTTCACAATTAAATGTCATTTATTGTACAAAAATTGTATTACCTACTTAAAAACATATTATGTTTACAACTATTATGTCAAAATTAGAACATCTTGGGCAGATTGCAAATGTTGGGTGATGTTCAAAGATGTGCAATATATTATAATCATTGTATTCTTATGTTCATAACATGTCAATTTTAAAATTATGCCATACATAACTTTTTAATTTATTATGGATTTTTTTATACAAAATGGACTTTAATAAAGGTTAAAAGTTAGATGAATTAAAATGTAACACCCCAAAACACACGCTGGACGGCATTTCATTCTAAAACCATTCATATCATGAGAGCACTAATATAATCCCTTAAAAAACAAGACTTCATTTGTCATCCACGGATATTTACAACATTATCCAAAAAAATAAGCTCAAGTCATGACTATTACATCTCAAAAATTAATTAAAGAAGCGCAGCGGAATAAACAAAAAAAGTTAGACTACACAATGTTCCAAAAGAATGTCCTAGTCTAGTACAAAAGGAAAGGAGGTCGCTCTATGTGTCGACCTCGGGATCCACACCCCCGTCTAGTGGAGTCTCCCAAGTAGCGGGCTCCTCGACCCTTACGTCCTCCTGCTCAAGCGGGTAATCTGAAAAATGTTAGCAATAAAGGGTGAGCACAAAACTTTGTAGAAAAATTCTCTCAAATCCATACAAGGTTTAGAAAAACATTTAAAATGGTCGATCTCAATTTTAACATAACATAGATACATAATTTGAAATAAAGCAGTGACATTTAAAAAAAAATCTCAAGTTTATTTAAAAACATTACTTAAATGAATAAACGAGCACCACATACAAATAATAACCATTAATTGTCATAACCAATTCCCAACAATTCTTTCGGTAGGTGGCATACTTTGTGGTAACCTCCACCTCCCTTTAGATCACCTTTGAACTTCTTGAGAATGGATAAGCATCCTTACATAGAACTTCTCACAAATCACTACATTGTTTCTCAAGCATCCTTATCACGAACCTCTTGGGAAGGGGTGAGTATCCTTACAAGGAACCTCTCACTCATGTGCATCACAAACAACCTAACCAAGCATACAATTTCA